TGAAATAAGCGTGTATTTTTGGGTGCAAACCCCGGACTTTGCAAAACAATCTCCGCCCCCCAGAGGATATTTAATCTGCAACAGAAATCGCTGCTCGCGGAGGCAAACTTGAGAAGGGAAGGGGTGCTGGGCAGCGGCGAGGGGCCCCTGCCCGCTCCCGCCGCCCGCGGAGGCTCCCGGCCCGCACGCGTGGAAGATGCGGTTCCCTTTCCCGGCGGTGGCTCCTGGGACGAGACTTTCGTCTGGACTGATTGGGACCGGACTTTTTAAGGACGCGCTTACCCATCTAAGGGCGATTTGGGCATAAACAGCAACACAAACTCTGATTTGGTGCTGGAAGCTGCCCCTGCCACTGAACAGCTGCTCTCACCCTGCTTCTGTCCCTCCCCCGTCCCATTTTCGAAAGGGGATCCTGAGCTATTTTGCTTCTTTTTTTTTTTTTAATTGTTGTTGCATGAATTTTATTTTAGGCGGCTGCCTTTTCTGGCTCTCTTGGCTGTTTGGGGGTCTTGTGGACTGCTAGCTGCAGTAGCAGTAACACCGCCTCTCCCTCTACCATGGCGAGCCCCACGGATAATAACGAGGGCTTCTTCTCGGATGTCAGGAAGGTGGGTTACTTGCGCAAACCCAAGAGCATGCATAAACGCTTCTTCGTGCTGAGGGCAGCCAGCGAGTCGGGACCCGCCCGGCTGGAGTATTACGAGAATGAGAAGAAATGGAGACACAAGTCCGGGGCCCCCAAGCGCTCCATCCCATTAGAAAGCTGCTTCAACATCAACAAAAGAGCTGACTCCAAGAACAAGCACCTGGTGGCCCTCTACACCAAGGACGAGCACTTTGCCATTGCAGCTGACAGCGAGCCAGAGCAGGAGAGCTGGTACCAAGCGCTGCTGCAGCTGCACAACAGGGCCAAGGGCCACCACCACCTCCATCACCATCATCACCACCACCACAGTGACGTCACCTTTGGGGGCAGCAATGTGGGACTGGGGGAAGCAGGTGAGGACAACTATGGAGAGGTAGCCCCTGGCCCGGCTTTTAAGGAAGTTTGGCAAGTAATTCTGAAGCCTAAGGGTCTAGGCCAGACAAAGAACCTGATTGGCATCTACCGCCTGTGCCTGACTAACAAGACCATCAGCTTTGTGAAGCTGAATTCAGATGCGGCTGCTGTGGTACTGCAGCTGCTCAATATCCGCCGCTGTGGTCACTCTGAGAACTTCTTCTTCATTGAGGTGGGACGCTCAGCTGTGACTGGGCCCGGCGAGTTCTGGATGCAGGTGGACGACTCGGTGGTGGCACAGAACATGCATGAAACCATCCTGGAGGCCATGCGAGCCATGAGTGAGGAATTTCGGCCTCGGAGCAAGAGCCAGTCCTCTTCAAACTGTTCCAACCCCATCTCCGTGCCTCTTCGTAGCAGACACCATATCAACAACCCTCCACCCAGCCAAGTGGGGCTCAGTCGCCGGTCCAGGACTGAGAGTGTCACTGCCACCTCTCCTGCTGGTGGTGGTGGAGGAGGAACTGGTGGCAAGCCCAGCTCTTTCCGGGTAAGAGCATCAAGCGATGGGGAAGGCACTATGTCAAGACCTGCCTCTGTGGATGGCAGTCCAGTTAGTCCCAGTGCCAACCGGACCCATTCACATCGACACCGTGGCAACTCCAGGCTCCATCCTCCGCTCAACCACAGCCGGTCCATCCCAATGCCTTCCTCACGCTGCTCTCCTTCGGCCACCAGCCCAGTCAGCCTGTCATCCAGCAGCACTAGTGGCCATGGCTCCACCTCGGACTGCCTCTTTCCACGCAGGTCTAGTGCTTCGGTTTCTGGCTCCCCAAGCGATGGTGGATTTATTTCTTCTGATGAGTATGGCTCTAGCCCGTGTGACTTTCGCAGCTCTTTTCGTAGTGTGACCCCAGATTCATTGGGGCACACGCCACCAGCTCGGGGTGACGAAGAGCTCAACTACATCTGCATGGGAGGAAAGGCCACCTCATCCTGCTGCAGCCTGGCAGCCCCCAATGGCCACTTCATCCCACGCAGCTGCCACCCACAGCAGCAGCCCCGCTATGCTGGTACCCCTTGCTGTCCTCGAGGCGGTGGTGAGGAGGCTGCTGACTTGGAGAAGGCATTCAGGAAACGGACTCACTCGGCAGGCACTTCGCCCACCATCTCCCACCAGAAGACACCCTCGCAGTCCTCAGTGGCCTCCATTGAGGAGTACACGGAGATGCTGCCTTCCTACCCTTGTGGCAGCCGCCTGTCCTCCTACCGGCACTCAGCCTTTGTGCCCACTCATTCCTACCCCGAGGAGTGTTTGGAAATGCACCACCTGGATAGTGGCCACCATCGGACCAACTCTGCTCCACACACGGATGACGGCTACATGCCAATGTCTCCAGGCGTTGCCCCCGTGCCCAGCGGTGGCGGACCCCCGAAGGGCGGTGACTATATGCCCATGAGCCCCAAGAGCGTGTCAGCCCCGCAGCAGATCATCAACCCCGGCAGGGGGGGCCGCCACCCGCCACCCATGGTGGACTCCAATGGCTACATGATGATGTCCCCCAGTGGCAGCTACTCACCTGATGGTGGCCCAGCAGGCTACGGCAAGATCTGGACTAATGGGGCCGGCCACCACCCAAAGCTTTCGGTGGAGAGCAATGAAGGGAAGCTCCCCTGTGGCGGCAGGGACTTCAACAACATGTCCCCCGGCCGCGGG